GAGAAAGATGCACTCACACGTGACACATGGAGAGAAAGATGCACTCACATGTGACACATGGAGAGAAAGATGCACTCACACGTGACACATGGAGAGAAAGATGCACTCACATGTGACACATGGAGAGAAAGATGCACTCACACGTGACATACGTGGCCCAGCTTGCCCCTCTAAGCAGCATGGATACAAACATGGCTGCCCACAGGACCACCTTTTGCACGTCACGTACAAATATGCAACCGTGACTTGGGCTGCCTCTCGCACGAGTTTATATTGTGAGCAAATATTTGCAAAGCAGTTTATAAATATTGATGCAGGATGCGGGCCTGGTGTCCGGCGCCGGGCCGGGCCGAGATCCATCGGGCTGGTGTGAATGGCTCCAATCGACCACCTGCTGAGGTTCTGGGACAAATCGTGCTCATGTCACCCCTTTATCCCCCAATACATGCACATTGACACCAGCAGTGGGGGGGTGTTCCACAAGGCCTTTATCTGCGTTCCCTTACATTTAGCTCAGACTACCTCAAATCCAATAAGCAAGAAATCCTGTTTCATGGTACACCCCCCTGTAAGGGTCACTGGAGTGTCCAAGCCAGCCCAAGACAACCCCCCCTGCCCCCCAGCAGGCCTCACCGAGCAGCCAGCGGATGGGACCTTCTTCAGTCTTCACCACAGGGTTGGGAAAGTTTCGACGGATGTCGGGGGAGCTGCGGAAATCATACTGCGTGGCCGTGTACATCTCGCCATCTGGCAGGGCGTGAGGGGGTGTATGTATCAGTCAGTCCATCCGGCTCTGATGCTGATATGAAAGAGGTCAGTCACAGGCACACACACACATGAACACACACACACACACACACACACACACACATGAACACACACACACACACACACACACTCACACACACAAAAATGAGACGTGTCAGCTCCCAACTCTATCCCAGTCACCTGAGAACCACCTGCACCGCCCCCTAGAGGAAGCATCTTCACATAACAAGAGACTCTGCGGTCCGATAACCATGCCGGTTGACAGACTTGCTGTGACAACGGAGGCTCCGCCCCCTTACCCACGAAGAGGCCGGTGTGTCCTTTAGCTGGGTCGTAAGGACACTTCTCGCGACCTTCCTCGAAGCGCGAAGTGAAGGTGAACCGTTCGGAGTCCTGCAGGAGCGGCGGACAAAGGGCTTGTGAGGGGGAGGCTTGGAGACCCTCACCCACCACCTCCCACCCAAGTATGTCTGTGACAGGCCAGTTGGGGGGGGTCTTACGATGTAGACGCAGAGTGGCCGGAAGGCATTGGTGCCACAGGCGTACAGGTGGGTCTCGTTGAACCTCTGCAGGAACCGGATGTGGTTGAAGCACTCGGTCTGAGGGGAGCACAGAGAAGAAGAGCTTCAGGCAGGGGAGGGGGGCGGCCGCACGCTCCCCGAAACCAGCCTGCAGTCCGTCTGAAAGGCCTGTAAGCAAGACCTGGGGAGCAGGAAGCGAGTTTGGAGGGGAGAACCTGTGCGGCCTGGCAGCTGGGGAGCTCACACACACATACACACACACACACACACAGTCACACACAGGACACACACACACAGACAGCACACACACACACACAGACAGC